ATTGTGTTAAATGACATTTCGTATAGAGTGTAGAAAGTGTAGAGAAAAACCGAGAGAAAGGCAGAACGAAATTGACATAAATTTGCCAAAATGCAATTTTTTTACAGCAGATACCAAAAAATAAAAATAAAAATATGAAAAATCTCTTATTTCATTTATTTACGGAAATGAAGCAACGAATTCAAGATGGACTTTTCGCGCACAGGAGCGCGAGAAATACATGACTTTATGCATGAAACTGAAAAACCGAAGAGTCATTCTCGCGTGATCGTAGCATAAAAATTTGATGTTTTTACCGATTAAGAGACGTAGAAAACGCGAAATTATGAAGAAAATGAAATCCGGTGACGCACGAACAATAGCCGCAGCATGCAACGAGGTGAAAATGAAAATGTAAAAATTTCTAAAGTCACCTGATACTCCGAAGCGAAAGATTCGATCATCGCGCGAGGTTGCGTCATCGGCGGCACGTGCGATGAGATTGGAGATCCGGGCGACTAATTGCTCCTCGTCGATAGCCACCACTACCTCCGTCATTGCGTGCGTTTGTTTTGCGAGCGGCCGAGCGAGAGCGAGGTTATTTTCGGTACCATGCACTTTCGAACGCGATAACCGGACCGTCTAGCCAGTTAATACAGTCATTGACTGTTGGAAATTATGATCGTGGACGAAGCTGGACGAAGTTTCAAGGTGCCTTTTATGTTCATTTTCATGGGAACGTTTCATTTGCTCACGTCCTAATTGGACATGTCCATTCGCATCGGCCGGTGCTTAGAAATAAAGAAAAATGAACTGTGTAAAAAATTCAGCTAGAAAGAATAGCCTGATTTATAGGTCTGTTCTTTTTTTTTTTTTTTTTTTTTTTTAGCTAAACCAATATGTACAAATTTATGAAAGAGCGAAAGAGAGTTATATAGCTATGGTCCTACTTGGTGCTACAAATGCTTCAAAGCGTTTGATCGATCAATCAGAATAAAAAAAATTTTAATTGTTAGAAGATTTTTGGACTGGAATTTATCTTTTTATACTGACGTTCGACGTTTATTTTTAGCATTATAATATAGATTACATTATCAAAGTTGATGCAGAATAATGAAATTTAAATTTAATAGTCATTTTTAATCACGTGTTTTATTTTGATGATCGTCGACATGAAAAAACACTTTAGTGTCGATCCACAATAGATGAGTTAAGCTTTAAAAAGCAAGAAATTGGCCAATTATAATCGAATATGAAAAGAATACTCGACTATGATTAGTCAATTTCTTACAGTTTAAAGATTATACTTATTGTGGACCGACACTAAGGAACGAGTCTCGTTATTTATCGGTTTAGTCTTATAAAAACAATAATGGCGTATTCGGTGAACATTTCCATAGAAGCACCGATTGAGAATCAGATACAGGAGATTACTTACGATGGTCAAGAAATTTATCAAGCGTACGTAATGAATTTTGCATTAATAGAGAATATGATACAAATATTTGATTAATGCAATTTTCAGTAGACATTAAACGCACTTTATATCTTGTACTTAACCTTAATTTAATCGAGAGGAATATTCTCATATTAAGTCTCATATTAATTTTACTATAGACCCCTCACATTATCGGAAAATTTGGCGAAAATTGCTCAAAAAATTGACTTTAGTAAAACAAATGGTGAGGAAATAAAAAAGGAACAAGTAGAAGGCAATGAAAAGAATGAAGAAGATGCGAAAGATGCTACTTCGTTTCAGTCTTCTTTGTGGCCGTGGGATAGCGTTAGAAATAAATTAAGGTTTGTTGTATTTTTTCTATATTTATAGAGCTCTGAATATTATTTATGTAAATGCAACAATATGATTTAATGATTAGAAAATGATACAAGCGCTAAATATGATATTTGTCTCATAGGAATGCTCTGACAGAAGTTTGTGTATTGGCTGATGTACTTGCTATAGCAAAGAAAAAATTATATGGTATTAGATCCAGTACCTCAGGAACCAGTTGAAATAAAACCTATGATACAGGTATATGCTAGAAAAAAGGCATTAGCAGGAGCAGCATCAGTTCTCATGATGGGTGCTGAAAGACTACGAAATTGTCAAGCTGAATTAGCTAGAACTAGATCTACTCCTGATTTCCACATTGAGTTATTAAGATTACGGCAAAATTGGCGTTTGAAGAAAGTATCAAACTCCATCATTGGTGATCTCAGCTATCGAACTGGTTTGTTCTATTTATCTGAAATATGACATTTTTTATACTTCATTAAGAAATGTATATATGCATTTAATATTCTTATTTAATTCTTATTTATATTTAGTAAATTTTTGTCATGTTTATGTATTAGCTGGATCCAAGTATACTCAAACTGGCATGTTTGAAGTTACTAAAGCAGAAGAAGAAGAGAAAAGCAATAGTAGTCCACCAGCATCTCCTAATACTGGTAGTAATATTTCAGGGCAATCTCACACTTCTTCAAATTCAAAAGCGTCTGCTTTGCGTGTGACTATACCCAGTGAGTTACAAGGCGTCGCATATATCGAAGTACTATGTCAGAAAGGTAATGTAACAAAGAGAAAAGAGATGTGAAAAAATATAATATATATGTGAAATAACTAAACGAATGTATACATGTTTAGATCAAGAAGATTTGTGCAATGCAAATATAAGTTTACTTAATAGTAGTGCAAATAATTCCAATACCGATATGCATTGGCAGCAAAAGTTAGAAGCTGCTCAAAATGTTCTGTTTTGTAAGGAATTATTTAGTCAATTAGCACGAGAAGCTGTTCATTTACGCGCGCCTATACCTCATATGGTTGTTGGAAATCAAATTATGGCTACGGTATGTATCTTGCAAGTAAAAATTAATTTCTTTTTATATAATTCTTTTCCCGTAAATTGTATGTATATAAATGTAGCATAAAATATATTTAATAAATTGTATTCTTTGATTTATTTTAGGTGCTCCCAGGAATTCAATTAATAATTGGTCTGTGTCATAGCACAGGTAACGATAAAAAGCCTACGGCTCCGCCACCACACAAAACAGATCATGATCATGTATTAGAGCATTCGTTGCATCAACTGTTGCGCGAAGTACATTACAACAATAGTAATCATCCATTTCCTCATCCGGCCTCGGGGCCACTCGGGCCTAGTAAACGCCGATACATAGCCGGTCCCACTGCTGCCGACAGATATGAGCTTTTAGAAATGACAAAGAGTCAAACTCTACTAGAGCAGATTATTCAACAAGCTCAACATTTTTTCATGCGTTTGCGCACGGAATATGTATTAGATACAATAGCAAAGGAGGTTAAGGATCCGCTCATTGTTTCACATTGGAACGCATTAAATTCGCCAACACAATCCTGCGTAAAAATAAACATTCTGACACATGGATATGACAGTGTATGTCGAACATCTATGGTTGTTCATGTCGGTGAAAAGTCACTAAAGTGCGTGTGTCGCGATGGTAGAGTCATGCATATGAGTTACGAGCCCCAAGAACTAAGAGATCTCATTTTCTGTCAGGTCGGTTGCTTTTACTTCTTAACATTCATAAGATTGTACAATTAAAAGATATAAAATCCAAAATATATAAAACATTGTTTTATTATGGATAAAATGGTATCACAATATTTGTTCTTTTTGCACGCAGATTTATCAACATCAAATAAGCGCAGTACAAGCTTTAGCCAAATGTATGGGCTGGCAGTTCTTAGCAAACAGCTCACATCTTGGCCTAGGTTCGGTGGAGCCTTTGGGAAATGCAAGTAGTTGTATTTTGGCTTCGCCAATTGGAGATAGGTATTTTATTTTAGTTTAAATTTATGACAGAAGAATCTTATTCGTGCGCATCTGTATTATTTAACTATCATTTAATTATATTCGTAGAATGATAGCTGTACGATGCGAACCGCAAACGGGTGTACAAGTTGCTATTGCTCATTCCCCTCGAAAGGATTTCTTCCCAGGTCAACTTGTTCGAGAAAGAAAATGGGAAAATTTGGGAGGTTCTTTCAAAGAAGTCAGATGGGACAAGATGGAAGGAAAGAATTTTCTCAACAAAATGGAGCTACTTATGGCTTCTTTAACAAGTTCTTAAGTACTATTACAGACAAATTACAATTAAACTTTCGTATATTTTTTCTTTGGGATAAAAGAGATTTTCTATATTTTTCTATACTTCTCATTTTTTAATTTATTAAAAATTATATGTATTGCAGTTTTCTTCTATATATATGCGATCAAGTAGAAAGCATAAATAGTGCGAAATAAAAAAAACATAAGAGCAAAAAGAGTACACTTGTTAAACTAAAAAATATAGGAAATCTTTATCCCAATGAGAAAAATTATATCAAAGTTCGGTTATATTGATAATTGAAACATTTCAAAATGAAATCTAGATAGATAGATAGATCTTGCTTTTTAAAATATTTCGATTATTCAAAAAATACAAGATGATAAAATTTATTGATAAAATGCCTTTTGCTTTTATCATGAAACAAAAAAGTTATGTACAAATTTCCTTATTTCTTTTAATTATTGAAAATGTTTGTTATTTAAAATTTACTATTATTAAAATTTATTATATGACTATGGTTTATGATTATTTGAATTATCAAAGATCCAAACATTAATACATTAGACTGACAAAAATTATCAAATTATGTAAAGCTTCTGCATATTTTTAATTTATATGGCAAAAAAATACAAATAATCGTTATAAATTTATCTAGATAAATTTTGTGAAAATGACTTAGAACTAGAATTATTATGTGTATTATGTTATATGAAACTGTATTATAATTTTGCACCTATAAAAACAATAACATTAATTTATACAATTAATCTTTTATACAAAAATTATTTTTATTTTAATGTTAATATGGAATGCAGTATGACTTGAATGATAAACGAGTGAGACACATGTGAGATATGTGATAAGTGAAAATTAAATTAATCAAATGTGTACGTATGCACGCGTACGCGAATGTGTAGATGTCATAGCAATTATCTTAAGTATAATCATCAATAGTTTTCCTTATCTTTTTGCATACAAAAAGTAACGAACAATTTCTTAAATTGTTATCATTTGTTAGCTATTCAAGGAATCCATTTTTAAGGCGCAAGTTAATATATAACTATAGATTTCATTTGCAATAATTATACATTACAGACGCATACTTATACATATATGTACACATGTACGAGTATACTGACACGTACATTTTAGGTTCCTTTTTCTTTTTGCTTTCTCCATGCAGCCATATTAAATTGTAATTGAGCAAAAGATCATGCAAATTTCTTATATTATACATTAAAATAAATCAATGTTTACTTATACATTGTTATCTTGGTAATATTGATTAATGAAAAATCTACTGAAAAACTTCTTTATTATTCAATATTAATAAATACATAATTCAAGAAAGAAATAGAATACATATACCCTATATCTCCATACTACAAAATTAAATTTTATAATAAATTTTACAGCTATTCATTACAAGCTGAAAAGAAAATTTTTTATTATAATAATTTATATAATTTATATAAAAAAAAATATAACACAAAAAGAACTTATTTTGTATAATGTAAAAACCAAAAATGACGATGATGTGACTTCTCGCCTTGTAATTTAATATAGCTGCAATTGAAAAACAAAAACATTAAGATGTAAGGAGTAATATATATCCCTCAATGTCTCTCGGATTAAAATCTGATTGCTAGAGATTATTGTTTCGATGGATTAAGGGACGGACTAACAGTTTGACCAAGATATTCTGGGCTAGAATCTTTTACACATAGGGAAAATAACTACAGAACTTTTGCGTCACAAGACATTTTGAAATATGTTAATTTCAAAACATACAAATGCAGAGTAAACTCTTCCCTGTTTTAGTTGGTCAACGTTTTGGACATGTATTATACATTGAATTTAATGGAATATGTTTGCCATGAAAAATTTATTAATAACACTGCATATCTATATTTTATATTCTGCTTGATAATCTAAATTAAGAAAAAATATCCTGCTCATTAAACATATTCCTATGTGTATTATATAATAGAGCAATAAAACAATATTCTTGTATTAGCATCTAAAGGGAAAAAATATTTCTCTTATGATGCTTATCTCCATTGGAGATGACTTTCTTAATTAAGAATGTCTTATTAAGTAATCTTTTTAAACTTTCAGTTTCTTTGGAAACAATGAATTAAAGTCTGCATTCGTCCACCCGCAATCTTGAATGCGAGTGTAGTCGTTATTACCAGTACTATATAAGCAGATAACAGACTGGCCGCGTATGCCTGATAACGATTGAGCAAGGTCATACACGAGACGATCAAATGTGATCCAACTACCCAGACAATCTGTCCCCATTTCTTCTTATCTAGGGCAGAGAAAAAGATGACACCCCAGAATGTATGCAGGAGAATGAAACACAGAGTGGTGGCAGCTGATATTATGAAGAAGTATTCGGTACCCTGCCGAAGTCCCATAGTGCCAGGTCCGACCGCATCGGCCAGAACATTGACTAAAGCAAAAGCACCGCTCATAAAGCCAAAACCTAAGCCGCAAACATAAGCGAATATGTGCCTGCTGTCGGCCACATGTGTCGTTGTAACTTTCTCTAAGCCTCTTTCAGCTTTACGCAATACCCAGTATAATAGATATCTTTAAAAAAAATAAAAATAAGTTAACAAATTTGTTATACCTATATATACAGAGATACAAATGTTAACAATTTAATTATTTCTAGAACTATGATACATAGAAATTACCTGAAACCTTCCTGGAAAAGTACAGAAAACACAAGACCAAATGCAAGATGTTCTTGCAATGGAACGACAGCGTACCAAAGTATTGATGATAGTAACAAAGAGATGAGCCAGAAAAAGGCACTGGCAATTAGTATGATTATTCTGATGGGCTCGGCCGCGATGGTGAATGTAAACATGGCTAAAGGTGGGCCGAAAGCCAAACAGGCGCAACCAAAAAAATCCATGACAGTCATTTTCTTTTCGAATTGCGGTGCTGAGTCGCACGTATTCTTGTCGACGATTTTCTATTTCCTCTTTTTTCTCGTCGTCTCGGCGAGGCTAGCAAATACTAAATACTCTTATTCTAGGAAGCCCTTTTATGGCTTGGACACTCCCTTTTTTTGAGCGCATTTATCCTGATGCCTGATCAGGAATTCGACAAATAACAGTGTTAATTTGTTTTAGAAACATACAAAAGCTGACACACATCAGAATCAATCACCAAATCATTTGTGTGACATCCTCCTTTTAATTTATCTGGCACCAGTTTATGTAATCGATTGTTCGTACAACTTGATGCAGTCACTGTTAAGTGAAGAATGTTGTAAAATGTTCAAAGAATTATACGAATTTGCGTAATTGAAACGAACAAATGATTTCCTTATCTTGCTTATGAGGCTGGAGATACTACCATCTAGTTACCATTATGATTTGAGTTTTCATTGAAGTTTTCAAAGACTGCATTCGACAGAAAGGAGAGTCTCATTTATTCATGTCCACTCACATTGGCTAATGTTTAGGAACTTTCCAAAAGACTACCTATCAGAAGCTTCAATGTTGGACGTAGCCAATTGGAACGTGGGCAAATGGAATGCTCCCACTTTGTTTTTTATCCCAGTTTGTTTTTTATAACTTTTAATGGGTAATATTTAATTGCCCATGTTGCCGATTGGTCAATTTAAAATAAAATTATTTGATTGATTGATCCAGTAGAAAAATCTCCGGATGTCGATCGCTGTAAGTGGCTGTGTCTATTGCAACGTGTTCAAACGAGATATTCCCGCTTTTAATATAATTCGTGTTTATTTAAAAGGTCTATTCTTTTTAGCTCTTACAGTCTATTCACCTTTCTCTCTTTCTCTTCATATTGGAGAAAAAAAAGAAAAAAGATAGAAAAAAAAATGAAAAAGTTCAGCTAAAAGATAGACCTAAAATGAAATAAATATATTTGATATTTTTGAAATTTGATAAAAGCGAGGTAAGAGGTTTTAATACAGGAACAAAAACAAATCTATTGTTTGCTATATAGATCGCGGTTTAATTCACATTCAAAGCATTATTGGCGTCATCCTGTTTTACATCTAAAATGAACGAAAAATAATGAACGATAAAGATAAAATAATCAATAGCGCTTTGAGCATAAATCGGCCGCGGTTAGTTTTACATTTAGTTTATATAGCAATAATAAGGAACGAACCTCAAGCCTGTTCTTTTCAGCCGAATTGCACAATTTATCTTTTTTCCTTTTCTCTCTAAATCGGAGAGAAAAGGAGAAAAGATGAATTGTGCAAGAAATTCCAGCTAAAAAGAACGGACTTTTTGGATCACTTCTTGCAATTATAAAGAGTTGCGGAGAGACTGGCTACGCAGGCTACGTGACATCGACGTCATCATCGCGATCATACGCGTAATCTATATAGTCACTTACAGTATAATAGAGATTATGGTGTGAATCGCGCAAACTGCGCGAGAGGTGTGATGCGCAAAAAGTGTAATCGATGTGATGTTTGGCGAGGGTTATAACGAGGTGAGTGATGATTCTAGGTGATTTTGTATTTTTAATGAATTCGTCAGCTCTTCTGGATCCTAAATTTTATTGATGTAACATCAAGGATGTTACAATCGAACCAGATTTCCTTCTGCAACGAGGGTGCGACTGTTTTGTCGAATTTTTTTGGCAAGTTGCCAAAAATTTTTGCGATTATTAAATGTTCTCTACAATCACAATTATCACGACGATAATTGATCGCTTAATTAACGGCGATCTTATTGTGTAACATTTTTGTGCTGCGATCTTTATGACTTATAAAATATGGTTATGTGACACAAGATTCATATGATTATTTTTCCTTTAACTTTTCATTTTTTCTGTACTTTACGATTCTTATATTTCTAAAATTTTTTACATCGTTTGTACATTTTACGTTTTATTTTTATTTTTGTTTTATTTATATTTTATTGATAATTTTATCTTTTTCTTCATAGATTTTAATTTATTTAGATAAATTTTATAATTATAAAAAGATTGATTAAAATATATCTTATAAATTGATATTTTGTCTACTGATGAAAATTATATTTACAAGTAACATATATGTATTATACATCTCTTATCTAGAATCTTAATTTGTAATTAATTATTAATGACAAGATTTTTTCTTAAAAAGTTTTATTATTAATTATCCAAACAGATTTTATTTCACAAATATAAATAGTTAATGTTTTGATTTTTCTTTTTTATTTTGATTTTGTATATCTGTAATTCTGTATCTTTTTTTTACCGCTTTACAGAATGCCAATACAGGCACCACAGTGGACTGAATTCCTGTCATGTCCAATCTGTTGTCATGACTTTGATGTGGCTATACGAGGCCCAATATCACTTGGCTGTGGTCATACCATATGTCATGCTTGCTTAGCCAATTTACATCGCAAACAGTGCCCTTTTGATCAGGTAACAATAGGTATACTAATATTGTAATAATATACATATACATACATGAGTACATATGTATATGGTTTATATACATATGTCAGTAATGGAAGAATACATATATGTATACATATATTTATATTTATTTATTTTTTATAGAGCATTATTAATACTGACATTGAAAAACTACCTGTGAACGAGGCGCTATTACAATTGTTGGGTAATCCAATTCCTATTGTCGTTTCATCAGCATCTGCATCGAATCAGCAAAATTATCAAAAGCTTCTACCGGTTGATCAACACGCTAGCTATTTGAGGGCTAAGAGTTGCATTGAGGAGCTTGCTCTTTATCTTAAACCATGTCAGACTACCAATACTGCAGGTATAGTGCACATTGTATTAATACAGTTTTTTTAAATATAGAAAAGTATAAAAAAGTATAAACAGTGAAGATATGTATTCTTTTTATCCGCATGGAGATATGCATCAGAAATGCCTTCATTTCCATATATATTTCTTTCTATTCAAAAAGGATTTCATTAATATATGTTTGATACATAGGTATCGGCAGCGGGGGCGGGGGGTTAGTATCTCGACCTATGCAACGCAAATTGGTGACACTATTAGGTTGTCAACTAGTAGAACCAGAGGGTAGGGCACGCGCGTTACGCGCCGCTCGTAGTCTTGGTGAACGCACTGTTACAGAACTTATATTGCAACATCAGAATCCTCAGCAACTTAGTGCCAATCTTTGGGCAGCCGTACGTGCCCGTGGTTGTCAATTCCTTGGACCAGGTAAATTTCATTTACATACAAGATAAGTTATGTAACTTGAATTAGTAAAATTTATAATATAAAATATTTTCTATTTTATTTATATTTTTTTGGCATTTTTGTTTTTATAATTTATAATTATCTTTGTTATTGCTATTTTCAGCAATGCAAGAAGAAGTCCTTAAACTTGTGCTATTGGCTTTGGAAGATGGCTCAGCATTATCACGTAAAGTTTTGGTGATGTTTGTAGTGCAACGTTTAGAACCACATTTTCCTCAAGCTAGTAAAACTAGCATTGGACACGTAGTACAACTTCTATATCGAGCAAGTTGTTTTAAGGTATATAGTGAATTATCAAAGTATCTAAATATTTTCAAATATTAAAAATAAAAATAGAAAATATTTTGATAATGATAATAAATTGATTGTAATTAAGGAAAAAAGGAATAACATAGTTATTTTAAGGTTCAAGTTTTTCTAATAAAAATAATATAAATTTGCGAAGATAAAAATGATTTATTTTTTTAAACTGAAATTTTGTTTATCCATTATTGTTACCATTTCTTATCAAATTGTATCAGGTATCGAAGCGTGAAGGCGATTCATCACTGATGCAATTAAAGGAGGAATTTCGTACTTATGAAGCTTTAAGACGAGAGCACGACGCACAGATTGTGCAAATAGCCACAGAAGCGGGTTTACGTATTGCACCTGATCAATGGTCAGCTTTACTTTATGGCGACACTGCTCACAAGTCTCATATGCAAAGCATTATTGATAAATTGCAAACGCCACAGTCATTCGCTCAGAGTGTCCAGGAACTTGTAATAGCATTGCAACGTACCCCTGATCCTGGACAACTAAGTGGTCTTAGACCTCAGCTGGAACTATTAGCTGCAATCGATCCTAGTCCAGGTAATAGATGTGCTCTTCTATAGTAATAATATAAAAATGTATAAATATTTTTCAGTTAAAAATTTTATAATTATTAAAATTTTTTGAATTCCAAGCTTTCGAATATATTTCTATTAACAATAATTTTTTATCGATATGCGTCTAATAAATTTATTACAATATTTTTAGAAACGGAACCACCGAGCTTGGCTGAATGTCAAGCGGCTTTAGAAGCCATAAGAATAGTAGTGGCTACGTTAGTGGAGTTTGTTCGACAACATGGAAGTGGTGGCATCTGCGGTAGTAACCGGAAATCAGCAGTGCAGGACAGTGGAAATAATGGACCTGGGAATTCGTGTCCGGGTTCAGTAACCGGCAAATATAAAATCAGCATGTGCAGAGATCTAGCACTACGTGGTACTTGTCCGCGATCCAACAATTGTACTTTTGCTCATAGCGACACTGAGCTTGATAAGTAAGTTTATTTAGATTAATATAGATCTGTTTTATTTTATATAGTTATATGTATATTTAACAAAAAAAATATATATATATTTATTTTAAGAGATTATTAGAAATATGAGATATTGAAAAACAGGAATTATGACATTTATTAAATAATTGATTATAAAAAGAATAATTCTTATTACCAATTATATTTTAGAAATATTGAAAATTAATATTTATTTATTTTATTTATATTATTTTAGGTAATTAATTTTTTCACAATTATTAAGTTATAATTAATTATTTTATTGCTACAATATTTTGCAGATTTATACATAATATTTTTCAAATAAAATTTTTATCGACTTTTCTTCTATATAGATATAGATCGAAGAATCGTAAATTAAATGTTAGAGCAAAACACAAATCAAGCGGAATTAAAGAGTGAGAAAAATAACAAGATTTTCAATAAGCAAAATAGTGATTTATCGACTTATCATTCCACCAAATCACATGACAAAGATAGTAAGTATAGTATTATAAATATTTATACTTATAATGACTTCTTATATAGAATAAATATAACAATTTCTATTATTTTATCATTTTGTTTTAATTGCTTTAGCGGTAATGCAACATTCAACGCCCGTTCCAATCAACTTAGAAAATAATTTGATTGATTCATTGACATCGACTTATATGCTGCCGCTTGCACCTCCACAAAATTTACCGCACCTCAGTTTATGTTCTGTGAAGGCAGGATCTATGATGGATAATGGAGGACCTCCTGGTGTTCATTGCTCCGGACATTACATAATGCCACCAGGATCCGTTGCCACTGTTGATTATGGACCTTCATTGACAACAAATCTTGGGATGTGGGATACTCCACAAATTGTACCAAATCAAGTAACAAATGATAAAAAAGTAAGAAAATAACTTTCCTTTTTATAACTATTATCTATTCAAATAGAAATGAAATATAGCAAAATGAAGATAAAAGTAAATTTCATCAGAATAATCAAGAAAAACTATTTTTTTGCTATACAGATTACTTATTCTATAAATTCAAAAATTAAAAAATAGACAGAAGACAAATTATTTTACAAAATAAATGTCTAAGATAAGATTAATTGGTATAAGAAATCTAGCAACAAAATAGAAAGTTTATTATATTATATTAATTTTAATAAATAATTAATTTAACAGTTTATAATTATATAGATTTTAAAGGATAAAAATATTAATGTAATTAATTGATCATAATAGTAATTTTAATATAATTTTAATAATAATAAAATGAAATAATTTTGCAGCAGCGAACAGCTGTAGCGAAAACTATGTTGGCATGTTTGTTGCAACGCAAAATGGAGATTTTAAATCAATTGGAAATGATCGTCGGCAAGCAACAGCAGCAACAATTAATGTCATCGCAAATAAAAACGGTAAAAATTTCCATTTTTTTTAAATTCGAGCTTTTTTAAATTCAGTATATTTATTATATATTTTTTTATAGAATCTTCAGCAGGACAGTGATTTGTTGACTACATCCAATAATTATTCGATATGGACTACTGCAAATAGCTTCCGTTGTTCATCCGGAACGGATCCATCACAGCCGCCACAGTCGACTTCGCATCTACTCGACGATGACAATCCCTTTGTGTCGCCATTAAACACATCTCCTGTAACTTCTTTGCCACCAGTTAATAAACAGGCACCGATCTCGAGACTATCTAAAACTCTAATAAGGTGATAAATAATATAGTAGATATCGATCTAATATCAATATCTATATTTATAATTTTTAGAATTGAATTTAGATAATTAAATCTTTATATAATTAAATCTTATTCATTTAATTATAATTTATATAATTAATATAATACTGTGATATAATAATAGATCTCCATATAATGGAGCTCTGCAGCATTTCGCGAATTTCTACAATGAGAGAATTGATCCTACTATTCCTGCACTATCTACTGCATTCAGAACTCCAAACTCTGTAACTTCTTGGTATTATGGCAATCAACGTAAGTTAAAAAATAGATATATGAATTATTGTGTGTATATTTGCAATATTGTATTATGTGCGTGCGTGCGTGCGTGCGGGTGCGGGTGCGGGTGCGGGTGCGGGTGCGGGTGCGGGTGCGGGTGCACATATATATATTAAAATACATACACATATAATGTTCTAAAAATTTTAAGAATTTATTTAAGCAAAGACTTTTCTTCTATATAAAATATAAGAAATTTTATACATTGATATAATTATCAAATTAATATTAAATTCCAGCATATACAGCGGTTGGTATGAATGAAATACAGTCAGTGACACCAACGAATCTTGGTAGTGGTGAAAGTGATAGCAATTTCACCAGTGATAATTACATCGCTCTTGGCTGCAATGTCATCACACCAGAATCATTGTCACAATTTCCGAGGTCGGAGTATATGTCAAAAGAGTAAGCGATATAATATACATTTTTATTTTTTATTTATTTAATTTTTTTTCTATTTATTAAAAACTTGTATTATTCATTTAAAGCCAGGATAATGATGTCACGTCAAAAATACATTAAAATTTTTAAATAGAAATGTATTATCTTATTTTTTTATTACATATTGTATTTGACGTCAGAATGGTTATATTTAATTTATAGTTTTATTCTGGAGTCGCAAAAGGTTAAGCAACAACTTAGACATCTAGAAAAGAAGATCAATGACTTAAAGGTAATTTATCATATTTAAAATTCTGAAATTCGATTTAATTCACATCTTGTATATGTATTTAGCTGGCTACGCAAGGAGCTACTACTTTTGTCACAACGGGTGAGAGATTGACACAGGAATTACGAATGATTGAAGCAGGTATCAGAGAAAGAGAAAGAGATGTACGAAATTGGAGCAATCCATACAGTAGTAATACTGATGCTTGGATCCAGCAGTCTTCTAATGATTGGTTATCAAATCAAGAATATAGTACGGATTACAAAACTGAGGAGGTAAATTATGCCATTTTATTTTGTAATTTATTTCATAAGTCACATCTCCATATAATCAAGAAGATTATATTTTAAAAAGATCATTTAATAAAAGATCATTTGAAAGCAAAAAACAATTAATGTATATGCAGGAGGATACATACGAAGCAGGTATAGCAAATGATATGCGCGAGCTAGAATTGCGATGGGAATTTGAGCTGCGTGAGCAGGAGAAGCATTGGTCTAATGGAGGTGAGAAAGATACCATCATCACCACTACCTCCAAGAATAAATGATAGAATGCTAATCTCTTTTCCTTTCTTCTTTTTGTTTAACTCTGTTTTTTTTCTTATTTCTTAGAAAACATGTATTTTTACATGTCAAAATTAATTTCCAATTTTATTTCTTTTAATTAATATTGATTGAGGGTAAGTAAAATTCCTTCAATTCACAAAGGCTGAAGAATATACATATAAAACACGCAGGCGTGCGATTATAAGCCTCTTCTTGAATGGTTTTAATAATCACATAAAAAAATGACAATTTGTAGAAATTGTAATTTTCAACAATTTGGTAGATTATGGAATGGGTGAGATTTTGAAATTAATTAATCGCGTTGAATACATCAATTTTTGATCGTTGAAATAATATTTTAGTTACAGCATTTGGTTAGATAACATTAGATAATTGTACGTTCATGGAAAAATCAGGCATAATATAATTCATATTTGACGTTTACGTCAAACAAATAAATATAATTACTAATTTCCAAATTAATAATTATCTTGATTAATCTCTGTAATAAATCTATTATCTCTTTTCAATGTAAAGAAGAGACAAATAGATACAAGATGATAACAGATTCACGAAAAAGATAGTATTTATTTTTACGGGATCTGTTAAAATTTAGCTTAATGTATCAATGTGGTCAATGTTTTATAAACAATGACTCAGCAGATGTATGTGCGAGAAGAGGAATATATTATCTTATTAATTATACGCAGTATATTTCATATATTATCTATTGATGATACAATATCATATATGCATATGATGAATAATACATTCGAAAAGAATGCTAATCGTGCTTGACCTGATCGATAAGGTTACAATCTGCGATGATAATAATAACATATTACAGTATATGTTTATACATATATTGTGTAAATATATGTGCTAAGAAAGAAATCACGTTCCTTTTGAAGGACGCTATATTTATAGAATTTATATATTCTAAAAACAGAAAGGAAAACAAGATCTCACTGTCTTGTCTCGACGACGGCATCCTCTATAATATCTTATTTTGAAATTTGTTTGGACAGAATTACCTCTTTATACATGACATGTGAAAAATATGTAAAACATCTTATATTTATAATAAAATCTGATGTTTATATAATGAATTATTATACTATTAATCTGTGTTAGATCATCATACTATAAGCGCGTTACATACGATAATTCTTATGTTTATTATTAATAATAAATATATAAAATGTTATATATTCTAATATAAGAAATAAAGAATCATAAGGAGTTAATTACATATTGATAAAAGATCGGGAATAATTATTAGAGAAAGTGGTAATATGATCGAGCAGTTAAGAGTATCGCTCTAGCAGAAGAAAAATCCTAAATTCAAGTTTTGATCGACTGTATTAATTTTTCTGTCTTCTATAAAATATATGATAATATTAATATCAATTTTATTAATTAATTAAATTATTAAAAATTATCAAAATTCTATTAAGAATAATGGAAATACGATTTGAGGACCGTCTCGAGAGAGGAGAATCCAGTTATCCTTTTTAGAAAATCATTGCAATTTGCAATAGCAATTTGAAATCGTCTCTTTTTTTCTATTTTTATGGAATAATAAAGAGCGATAAAAACAATTCCAGTTTTAGTGGAAGATTTTTTTTTCTTTTTATATAGACAGGTATCATCTCTTGGTTCTATTTTATAAATTTCTCAGGAGAATATACATATATACATATACAATGTAATACATGTACGATGCAAAAATATATGCGTGCGTGTATATGTGTATATGTATACAAACCAAAATTGTTTTTTCTTCTATCAAAAAGGCTATAGATAATTTGTAGTTGAAGTATCCTTTTTTTAATAGT